AAGCCAAGGATCATGTCAGCATTCACCAACTTAAACAAGGGGAATATCCAGAAGAGTTGCAGGAGATTCCGAACACACAAATATATATATATATATATATATATATATATATATTAAAGAAATACTGTTTATTATAAACGGAGCATTTACTTAAATACTTGTATGTATAAAAAGAATGTTAAACATAAAAATGTCTTTAATAAATTGTCGGACATTGCCCAATTCTTAATGTATGACGTCATTTGTTTACATTTGATACGCCATGAGCAGTTATGAATGTACGAGATTCATGGAAGATTGAAGTTTATAAGCAGTAAATTCGACCTTGCCTACCGAACGCTCCTTTGTGGCCGAGTCGGTTAAGGCACGTCAGCATAAATGACGGTTCCGTATAGGATGCAGGTTCGAATCCTGCCAAAGGACGAATATTTTCTATGAAAATTTCTCGGACATTCAGGCCGGTAAATGTTATTTAATACTGTTTATTATAAACAGAGCATTTACTTAAATACTTGTATCTATAAAAAGAATGTTAAACATAAAAATGTATTTAATAAATTGTCGGACTTCGTCCAATTCTTAATGTATATATGTTATAGGATTTTGCATTCAAACATCTAGGAACAACGCTACATAAATGCACTCATAAATGTAAAAGTAATTTTACATATATCGCGCTTGAGTAAAAAATATAAGAAAAGAAGTTGATAATGAAACTGGAGTCTTTGAAATATTTCTTTATAGCAACTTTGCCGGTTTCACTGTTCTATGCTTTTTAATAATTACAAAGAGGTGGATAGCAGCGTGTTTATGCCGTCATATGTCTCATATATGGAATCGTGTGTGTATAATTCCTCAGTCCAGGTTATGATGATCGAAAGATTGGAGGTTTTGAGTAGCGTGGAACGACCTCTAAATTTCGTTTGTTCCCAGGTCCACCCTGATCCAGGGTGGTAGCACTTGTTAGAGTCCCAGCTCTGAGCAAATATTGAACACTCAAAAAAGCAAAACACTATAAAAGTATAAAAATACATTTTTGTAGTAAAATACCAGCAATACATTTCTCTATAAAAATGACAAACAATACATATTTATAGTAAAATGATCAACAACGCATCTGTAATTGAAGGCATAGTGTTGCGTTCAATATATTTAAATTCCGGCATTAAATTACCCATAGAGATTGATCTGCCACTAAACAAAAACAAACTACCAACATGAAAGAACTCTTTCATGACATTAATCTATACAATATACTACAATTTCTTAAATAAAACTTTATTCCTAAATATAGCTTTAACAAAACTACAACATGAAATACACACGTCACCACATCTAATAATTATCCACACAAACGTGTATATGCACAAAATCTGAGTATAATCTACTATGTATTCTATTGACATATATTTTTATTACTTCAAAACTCACAAGAAAATGAAATTTTCACCCATCAGGAACTGATATATCGTTAAACAAACAGCAAAGAAAACAATAAAAATCCTAGAAACATCAGCAACTCAGAGCAACAAAAGATTACTTTGCGCGAAACTGCAAAACCTTCTTCATCTAAACGAAACATCCCAAATGTGCATAAAGAACACAGTGACGGTGGGGACCTTGTAATTAAGTCCTTAAGATTACTCTCTGCCAAGATGATATCACACTCAATAATAATAATAATAATAATAATAATAACAACAACAACAACAGCTTGAGTAAATATTATTTGGTAGACGGAAAAAGTAGAAGTGACCATATATGGTAAAATTATAGTCTCAAGTTGTGAACATTGTGGATAAAAACATGTATGAGTGAACCAAATGTCATTTACTTCATTTTCAACTCAACACGCATTGAGTACAATGCTAAAATGTAATAGGCACTTAATACATTTTCGGTTCAAAGTTTTTTTTAAAAATAATTAATCATTTTATTTTGAAAGACAAATGATGAAATTTGAAATGCTTGATTTCAAATCATTGTCTAAAATTCAACGTTATATCTGTGAAAAATACTTGATTGAATTAACATTGAACATTCTATCCAGGATTTTGAGGAATAGGAATATTTAATAGAATCGTTGGAATCTAACGCACAGTCATTGTGATAGAATGTTGTCGTTACAAACCACGAAAAAGGTATCATTGGGCGCGTAATACCGGTGATTGGGCTTAAGGTTATATCACTTTGAAACAGCGGATGATCAGCGAACTTAAGCATCGTAGAGCCTGGTCAGTAACTAGGTGGGTGGCCACATAGGAAATCAACTCAATCACTCAACAACGGCGATAGTACAAATTCTGGAATGAGTTAGTTCAAAGTATGAAACCAGAGATTTCCCTTCAGCTCTGGTTTAAGATGACAGTTTTAACGAGCAATCAGTCTTTCTCCTTCAGTAGGACGTATGCGGAAAGCGGTTGTGAACGTGAAATCGGAAAGCCTCAAACACCTACCTTGGCTCCTTCGGATTTTCATTTGTTCTGGTCTTTACAGAAGAATTTAAATGACAAAATGTTTGATTCACAACCTTTTTCCAACCAAAAGGCATGATGTTCCTAAGAAAGTGACATCATTAAGCTTGTAGAATGATGGGAAAATGTTATTAAAAACAATAGAGAATGTTTTCGGTGAGTATGTTAATTTTCGGGTTTTATTTTTTAATCGGACACAAACTTTTGCAATTGTCATTTTCTTACTGAACATGCTACATCCCTCAGATTTAGGTATCCAGTAACTTTCATTCTATGCAAAATAAAACAAGCCTTCTGCAACAGATAAAATTGCACTGGTAATTCTAATGTTTTCAACCGATGAAGAAAATTCCCTGACACTTTTTCTAATGATCCGATTACAATAAGCACAACAAATTCTTGATTTCCTACTTATATTTGTATAGTTCTCAGTTTTCTGTCTCTCCCCTTCTCAACTATTCTGATATCAAATCATCATCACCACCAGTTCCTCGACTGCTTCAATCGTCCGACGGAAGATGTAATAGCAGACAACCTCCTTTAGGATGATCTGTTAGTGGTGGCTCTCAGGAGATCTGGTATGTCCGTCCAGACTTCGATATTGTCTGACCAGCTCTTGCGTTGCTGTCCTCGTTTGCGCTTGCCTTCATCAGTGACTTGCATGATGGTCTTGCAGGGGCCGTAATGCCGAGTGACGTGGTCAAACCATGCTATATTCAAACGCTTAATTGTGGCGAGGAGAGATTCTTGACGGCCTAAATTACTTTTCGTCTTCCTCCGTACATAGGCATTTGTATTGCGCTCCCAGTAGGAGATGCGAGGAGATTTCTCAAGCATTTATTTCGAGCGCCTAGATCTTGTTTCTTGTGACAACCAGGAGTATCTAAATATCACACCCATAGAGGAGAATGGACATGACCAGAGATTTGTAGAGCTTGAACTTGGTCTGGAAGGTGATGTTGCACTTAAATATTTTTCCAGTCTAAGCATCGCTGCTGCGGCTGTAATGATCCGTGTGATGATTTCTGTGTTGTAGATGCCATCTTTTGACAGGATTGCTCCTAATTATTTGAAGCTGGACACTGGTTCACCGTCCTTGGTGACGCTGGCGCTGGTGTTGCTTGTGCTATTCACTATTACTTTGGGTTTCTCTCTGTTTAGTCCCATTACATATACGCCGGCTATTTTAAAGAGTTTCTTGCTCAATATCACTGTCCCGCCTTAAGATCAGCATCGTCTGCGATGTCTACCATCGACAGAAATAGAAGTGATGTTCAATGATCTTTTCAGTATGAATCTTCATGTCCAATGAAATCTTTATTATTTTCATCTTCGATGGCCGCCTCTAGGCGTAGCTAGCGTGTGTGTAGCCTGCGTGATCTGGCGGACGTGGGAGGGGCGGTCATAGAATTTGCCACCACTTTAAACAACATTCCAAACTTGCACGAAATCTACTTCATTACCACACACAACTTCCCGATACTAATTAACTACAGGCAAACCCCCCAAAACCTGCCTCCTGGACCGTACCATACCTCCGTACGCACAAAATAAAATTTTGAGCGGATTAATATTATTATAAAAAATATCTTAAATGAACAAAGCTCTTCGCAGGATATGGGCTATACTTGTTAAAACTATTTTTTGGATTGCCTGGAGAAACATTGCATCAGGGATTTTGTAGAATTGCTGTTGAGTTCTTTTCTTTATCAGATCCAAAGCTCCAATCACAATTGGAACAGTTTTACTTTTTAAGTGTCACATTTTTTCTGTTTCCATCTCTAAGATTTTGTATTTGTTTAGTTTTCTGCAGAGATGTTTTTGTTACTTGGTAACCTTATGTCAATCAGTGTGCAAACCTTTTCTTTCCTGGTTTTGATAATAATATCTGAGCAATTTACTTGTATCATTTGATCTGTATTGATAGAAAAATTCCAGAGGATGGTGACATCTGATCGCACATCAACAGATTCAGGATTATGTACATCTCAGATTGCAATTTTTTTATTATTCCGTAGTGATGACTGATCTTCCAATGAAGATATTGACATATCTTGTAATAACGTTTTTTTGTTTTTTTTTGTTTTTTTGTGTGTGGATTAACTGGTTGTGAGTATTGAGCATCCTGAGATAATGTGATCAATAGTTTCAATGTATTGATCACCGAACTTACATTTTGTGTCCGTACTATTATGCAAAATATTAGTTTGGTAGATGCGTGTGCTGTCCAGCAAGAATAAACCTTTCAGTCACTCCCTCATGTCCTGACTTCCTTAGCCAGTGTGGGTTTGTGAACTGATGTATATGAGCATTTTTTCGGAATTATTATTATTATTATTATTATTATTATTATTATTATTATTGCTGTAGAACAAAATATTGTAGCCTCAATTACAAATCAGTCTTTCCAGTTGAATCGGATGGCTTGGTTCATCAGTCCAGCCAACCATCCACTGTTACTAAGCAGCGAGCTTTCGGTTTGTCCAAGCATCACCTTGTCCAAGCTGTCTGATAACGTGGGAATTGATGAGTCTGTCAATACTCTCGTCAATCAACACTGCTAATTTCTGCATTCGTAATGAGACATGTTTGTCTCTTTGTTTTTTCCTGCTGTTATGTCTGTTCTTCATTTGCCAACTACTGTTGTTCTTACGTCATTTTTATCACCCTATTCGTTGTGGTCGACATTATTATTCTTATTCTTATCATCATACAGAGTATGATATTGTGGTTAGATAAAATTAATTTTCAACTCAAAACTCGTAATTTAGGAGAATTAAACTGATCATTTCTTCTTTACGTAGACCGTCCACTTCTGTTCCGGAATATCCTTGATGTTCCAAAAAAGCAAGATTTTTGTAATGATTCTACAAATTACAGGCCAAAATCAGCAAGATAATTTGTAAATAAAATACCATTATTATTATTATTATTATTATTATTATTATTATTATTATTAAACAAAATGATTGACGTATTTCTTGCAGTATTTTTCCCCAGTTAAGAGAAGAGCGCGATTTCAGAAAAGAAAAAGAAAAGAAGAAACAGTATTTGAAAATGTTAAACAATATTTCAATGAATGTATGATGGTGAATTTTCTGTTAGTTACTGAGAAGAATCAATCAAAGAGATTTTAATATAAATCTTATGGGGCTTTTCTGACATTCTCTTCATTCCCCCGGACCGGGAAGTTAGTAATTTGCTTACGTAACCATTCTCATGAATTCGAAAGGTCGAAAGGTCGGTAATTTCTGAATATTTTTTCAGAATATGCACCTTAAGATGCTTGTCAAAATTACAGTCTTTTGTAATAAAATGTTCTGCAAGCTCCGTTAATGTCTCATTGTTGAGCCTGATAATCATATATGTGTCTATTAAATCTTTTATTTAATATTTTCCGTAGTGCAACCGACATAAATCAAGTCATGTTTGGTATAGGTGTATTAATATTATTATTATTATTATTATTATTATTAATATTATTAATAGTAGTAGTGGTGGTAGGATCTTCTTTTATTTTCTCTTAGGTTCAATTCCTTGACGTATTATTACTCGAGATACGCGGTAAGGCAAAGTAGCAAATATAAGCCTTCTGCACGAAAAAGTTCAATTGTTAAGTAACAATTATCCTGTGCAAGGTTTATATTTTCTTTACATTCACGATACTCTCCTAAATATTATCAGTTCCACGCAGTACAATCCTTTGAATGTCTTGTAATCAGTGGTGCCAGGAATTTTATTAAACTTTTTTTTTTTAGTGGGGGTATTTTACTTATTTAGACCTCCAATTATTATAGGAATAATTTAAGTTAAGATGCATAAACTAATTAAATGGAGTCTGAAAAACATCAATTATTTCACAGGTGTAAACTTCTGCAAAGTCACAGTAGATTCTTCAAAATGTATATGTATATGTATGCATATATATATATATATATATATATATATGATAAAAATATAGTTATAACATATGATATATTTATGGGCTAAAGTGCTCAATAACAGGGATAGTGCGTACGTAACTATAAAAGTAGACACTGAAGTCAACACCCAGCCTGTTTCATGCTTATACGATATATGCTGACGATTGCGTATAAGCATGGCAGAGACTGTCGCCACCGGGTGTTGATTTCAGTGTCTACTTTATATTTACGTACGCACTATGTGGTGCCTGTGTGATACTTAGAATTCTTTTGTCTGCATCCTTGTATTCTTTGGGAAGCTGGATGTTTGGAATAGTCTAGGTAACATGAGGTACAACGGCTAAAAAATGAATACGATTCATTTATTTACTTTATTATATTTTTTTTATTTTTCCCAGCTTCTAGCGTAATAGTCAACACCTTTATATATATATATATATATATATATATATATATATATATATATATATATATATATATATATATGTTTGTGTGTGTGTGTGTGTGTGTGTGTGTGTGTTCGTAAACTGTTAGATTGAAAGAATGAAGTTATCAGAAGGACGCATGAGTGCAATCTTTTGCATTTCAACCCTATTCGGTTCACTATTAGTTTACATATTTTGTTATGCCTCATAGAGCACCAGTGACAATCGGAATTCTTCTGAATTACAGTTTCTTAATTATTATTATTATTTTATTTCCTTTGATTTCCGGTGTATACTGATTTATTTCCGGGTCCTAACGAGAGAACCAAGTTAAGAAATGACATTTTCCACTGAGCATTTCTGAAAAATATCACACATAGATAAAGTCTCTCGTAAGGTGTGGGCTGTACTTGTGAGAACAATTTTTTTGTATTTCTTTAAGGCATAAGCTACCAGGGAACCCTTCAATAATCTTTTTTAGAATCTTTTCGAATCAATCCAAGTGCTCCAACTAGAACTGCAGTTGGTGATGTTCGCATGTGTCACATTTTGAGATTTTGATTTCAAAGTTCTTTTACTGAGATAGTTTATTGAAGATCTTCAAAGTAACATTGCAATCCTCAGGGAGTGTCATGTCAATAAGGAGGCACATTTTGTCTTTGCCCTCTCTAATCAGGATTTCTGGGCGATTAGCTTTGATTGTTCTGTGTGCCTTGTAAAGTCCCATAAAATTACAGGTCCTATTACCGTAACCGGGTTTGGATGGTGTGCATACCAATTTCTTGCAGTTACCTTTCAGTAAAAGTTGCAGATTTTCCAGTGCTAATATTGGCCCACTCTGACATGCCGTGTTTTATATTTATTGGGTGCCAATAACGCGCAACTTGATACAAGATGGTCAATTGTTTCTGGATATTTATCACAGAATATGCATTTTCGGCTAACGCAAATTTTCATTATGTCGGCTTGGTAATTTCTAGTTACTAAGTGTTGGTCCTGTGCAGCAAGGATAAAACCTTCAGTTTCAGCTTTTGACTCGGTACTACGTAGCCAGTGATGTGCATGGGATTTTTTTTATATCAGCTTGTTTGGTACGGTAGAGTATTGACCGTGAAGAGATTTGTCTTGCCCTCGCGTCTGTATCCTGTCGTTTACATTTGCCTTTGCTTTCTTTTTTAAGTATTTTGCAGCTGCAGTCGGCGTACTATGCTTTACTTGTATTCCTTCAATCACTTGAAATTATTATTATTATTATTATTATTATTATTATTATTATTATTATTATTTCCTGAATATAATGAATTTGCTTCCTTCCCGAAAACTAAAATTTATCAAGTGCCGACATTCCTTGACCGTGCTCCCCTCGATTGCAATTTATAAAATCTCTTTCAAAAACTTTTCCAGAAAAATAGATTTTTCAACTCCATTAAATGCTATCGCTCTTTCCAGGAATGATGAGGATTTCCTTCCTAATCTTTTGTTTAATGTAATGTTGAAGGTCAACATCCTGACTATGGCATTATTTTCTCGTTCCAGGCGCTATCCATTTATTTGTTGCTACTATTTAAAGTTCTCAAGTGATGCTGTTTCTGATTTAGGTAGAGTTCTATTTTTGTGATTGTGCATCACTAGTCGACGACATTGGAAGAAGAATGGTCTTCGTTAATACCTACAAGGTTCATTGGCTCGAAGCCATTTTAACCATTGATCTGAGAAATCATTTATATAAAGTTGACAGTTTAGATATTTCTGAACACCATATGCATGACATCCATATGAAACTTAAGATCTATTTAACAAACTTCACACGATTTTTAGGTTAATGTTTTGGTATTGTAGCAGTTTTGGGTGTTGGACAAAACTATCTCTGGTGCATTAGCACAGGTCGATTTGGGAATAGTAGTATTGCACTCAATTTGACAGTTGGGGTTTGTCTTGATAAATAAGGGCAGAAAATACATTTTCCATATCATTACCGTTATTTGAGGAAACGAGTTTAGTTTAAAAACTGGAGCATTGAAATTTCATTTCTACGATCAGTGAAAGCATTATAAAATTTATTGATATATATATTATTTGAAATATATGCAGTTACTTGGTTTGAAATTAATAATAATAAATTCTATAACCAGCAACTGTATATCGTCAACATGATCTAGACAATAAAACAACAGTGGACCGAAACACAGAAGATTGCATTAAAAAATTTACAGAACGATACTTTCGCTTTGCTTGCAGAAAATATTCTATTTTTAATGTTGACGTCAGGTAAATTCGATGTGAGGGGAGAGAGCCTATAAAAAAATTCTCATTAGTTAAATATACATTTACTTATACTTAATTACTTATGTCTATTTACAAGACTAATTTTAAAATTTAATTCAAGTTACATCACAAAATATAACTAAATGGGTAAATTATCCGATAACAATATTTTTTTCTTCCAGAAGTAGCGAATCACCAAAGTAGAAATTTTGAAAAATTACATTCATCAACTGTGAAGCGACACACTGGTTAAATGTTATTAACCTCCCAAAAAATGGAGTTTTTTTTTGTTTTGTTTTTGTTTTTTTCAAATAATGAAATGGAAGAGGTTCTAATGAATGGAATAATGCGTGTGTTTCCGAATTTATCTACACATTCGCAAGATTGTGGAAAGAGCAATAAAATTAACTTCTAGAGAAAGGAATATTTCAGCGACTACTAGGAAGTGTCGGCGAGATAATTTGCATATGTGCTGTCATATCGGGGTCTGCAATCGCAAAACAGCTTATCAGAAATGAGTCTTATTCTTCCGTGAAGATATTCTTAAGCATTTAATCCCAAGAGGGCCACTAGCACGCATGGGGTTACAGAGATTGGGAGCAAGAGTAAGAGACGTGATTATGGAAAGGATAAATAGAAGGACGAGGATTTAGATCAAGGAATCAGAAGATTTCGATTGACATTACATTTGAATATTTGAAGACTATAACTGTCAGGGAAGCAAGTAAACGGAAGTTGAATTCCACAGACCCGAAGTGTGAGACATTAAGCTATTGGAGTAGAAGAGACGACTACATTTAACCGTTTCAACAGTGAAATGGTGGGAACGAGATACCAACCTAGTAACACGCTTAAATTCATGCAGTTTGGGAACTAGAAAAAATAGCTCATCGGAGCATTTACCGTGAAAGTTTTTATAGAAAAAGAAAGAGGAAAGCGACGGCACATCTGTGAGAAAGTGACTGTAGACGAGATGGCAGACTAGAACCAAGCACATTGCATATATCTCTGGATTTTATCGAGGACCTTGAAACCAACAGCGGGTGCCCCAGACCATATATGGCAGCAATAATATGTTCTCAGATTTGTGCGGATCATATTCTAACTATCATTTAAATTTCTTGAATATATTTTCCTTAAATCACGCCAGTCTTCTTGCAAACGGAACAGTTGGTTGTTGAGGAGGAATCTTTTTGGTTTATAAAAAATATAAACATCTTAATATATTATCGAAAGCCGTATATATTTTTTCTTCATTTTTCATTTTTTAGTCGCGCACAAAAATACATTCCTCGATCGAGTTCTGACGAGTGATAAGCGATAACCGGTTTGCTGATTTTATATGATTTTTGTTTTTCTCTTTGATTTTCTTTCCTCTTCTTAATTTCGTATTTTCAACTATCGTAGCTATTTTTTGCCCTTATTTTCCTTTTTAATTATATGTGTTTTATTGAATTAATTACATTTTTTTACATTTAATGAAATAATTTCTTTTGTATGTTTCAGCAATTGTATGTGTAGCTAAACATTTCTCATAATACTTATTATATTGTAAGTATTTACGATATTTCCCTCAAGTTTAAGGTTAGTAGCAATATTAGAATTTTTTCTCAAAGATTCTGGTGTTCCTTATATGTTTGCTTGTCACCATGATTGATGATTAAAACACAGTATTTTGAAATGTTTAACAAAATTTTAATGAAGAAATTTTCAGTATTAAAGCTGTATGTTGTACGACAAAAATATAAAGATTATTATACGTGCCTCTGTTCATCCGTTTCATACTCTTCATCCAGTTCACACTCCTCACCGATCATTTGAATAGGCGTAGAGGCTTATCATTTGTTTCCTGTTTAGGATTGGGTTTCCAGTTCCTTCTAAAATATTTTCAATTATTTTTCAGTCCCAGTAGTCCCTGCATATTAGTGGCATTATCCCCTTACTTGATGTGAATTGATTAAAAAATCATACAGCTTGATTTTTTTAAATTATGTCACTAAAAATCTGCGTCTTATACAACTTGAAGATTGATTGTTGAAACTTAAAGATATTTCTGAGGATATTGCAAAAGTTCATGTTCATTCCTCATCTCTAATTTTAAATAATGTTTCATGTTTTAACGCGCAGAACCTTCTCGTCTAGGATCCTCCATGCTACGTACACGGCGTCACCTCACCCTCATTCTCTTCGTATTCCATTAGTAAGGTTGAAGATCCACTCCGATTTTTTCTCAGAACTTTTACCTTGTAGAACAGACACTCGAGGGGATGCTCTACCGATCATTATAACTTTAAACTCTTCAATTTTAGTTTCAACTATTATGCATCCTTCTAGCTGGAAGTGACGTAATTTAATGTCATAAAAAATCAGAAAATGTTTTTAATTTCTTTTTCAATATAAATATTATTTATATTATTTCAGTTTTAGGTTCATTTATGTATTATATATTTTAAATAATACAAGGTTATTGATTTAACCGTTTTCTTTTAGTTTTTAACATTTTTATAGTCATGTATATTAGTTTGGGAAAGATGTATTTTTTTCACGAAAGGATACATTTGACACAATTGAGGGCGCAGATTTATATTTAGGTATGAAGTGATGGCGGCACTCTCAAGAATTTGCGTCTAAATAACTTTTAATAATCGTTGCATTTTTTAGATCGAAGTTGTGGTTGAATTTATTTCCATGTATGAGTAATTGATTTGATAGATTGATGTGTATAAGATCCCTTTTGTGTTCCTAGATACTTTTCTTTTAAATTTCTGTAGGTTCCCCCAATGTGCTGTAAGGAAGAGATGTGACGGTTTATTTTAGGGATGTTTGGTTCCGATCATATCCATAATAATTTTGTATTTAGTTGTAATTATTTTGATATTGTTAAGACATTTTAACTCTCTTATTTTATCATTATCATCCCCTCTCATAAAAGCTATTTTTACTTGTAATTATATAACTTCTTGTAATTATATAACTTCTCTCCTTTTGATTTTCATTGTATATTTCAGTTACTTTTTCAATTATCAATTGCATCAAATTCTATCTATCTAGCCATCTATCTCTGTCAATCACGATCTTTCTATCCTAGTCTCTTACTCTCTCTCTCTCTCTCTCTCTCTCTCTCTATCTATCTATCTATCTATCTATTGATCTATCTATCTATTTTTCTGCATTACATTTACCCCCCACATACACCCTCTGGTTTTCCTGCCTTATTTATAACATTTTTCTATTTCTTTTCCGTTTTGTCCCTTGATTACTGCCACTGATTGCCATCGAATCATTTCTCTCACTCTCATGCAATATATTCATCTTCCTATCCCTTCCTATGCCTTCTCTCTCTCTCTCTCTTCTTTATTCCCTATTCTCTCACGTTCTCCTTTTTTATCGCTTTCGTTTTCTTTCTTTCATTGCTTTACCCTTTCCCTCTGTTTTTAATTGGGTAAAAAAAAAGTGTGACATTAATGAAAGGAAGGACATTCGAAGGAAGACGCAGATTTTTAGTGACATCAAAGGTGATTGATTGTCATATTTGGCGTCCGTGTTTAATGTTGTTGGAATCCCCACAGCTTTTCGAATTCATTAATAAGGATGTTCTTTTGGGATGGTAAGAATTGGCGGAAAACGGCACGGCTCGGATGACATTGTTAGTCGACCACTACAGCAGCTGGGTGAGATAATTTCATCGCTTTTGTTGGCAGCAAATATTGAGAGGACGACGACAATTATAATAATGTTGGTTGAATATAACCTCACAGAAATGTTTATGATGTGTTCAAACATTCAGAGTAGAGACGATGACCGCAGTGGTAATAGCTTTAACAAAAGATCTGTTTGTACACGATTTTAATGTCGGTGAATGTGTAAAAGATGTTTGATAAGGTATAATCTATCTCTGTGTGTTTGTATCCCTCTAATTTTGTCCATTAAGAGCTTTAAGGGTCATGGCTCTCCACAGGTTTAGTGACTTTCAACAATAGCTGCTTCCTTATTGTTCCTCTTTCACGTTAGAATACGCTTTCTGTTATGTATTTGCTTAAAATCATCAGATAGGTTTCTAGCTGGCCCAGTATGTATTAATTTCGCCAAACCGTCTTTCCTCTTTTTGTATAGCCAAAATTTAAATCTTTATCTGATTGTCATCAGCAGTTTTTCTTTATTGTCCTTATACTCCTTTAGATCTGTTCAGCGTCCTTCGAGTATTTAACGTTTTTTGATAGAAAAAACATACCAGATACTTCAATTTTCTTTCTTTTTCTGTGTGAATTCTCTGTTATGTAGAAAATAAGATATTTTATAGCAGTCCCAGTTTCTCGGATTTCTTTAAGGATATTTTAGCTCTTGATTGCATTGCTTAGTTTCTAGAAAGCATTTACCTCTATTCTTATACTTCTACAGATTTTGGTGTCACATTTTCCAGCTTCCGTTTTACTTGAATTCCTCCACTTTGTCGTCTAATATTGCTTACATTTCTTATCTGTCAGAACTGAATCAAATAACAAAAACCACATCATTTGGGAAATTTCAAAAACAGCAGCAATTAAAAAGGGTAGACATGTAACTCGAAGTGGGAATAATGACATAATCAAGACATTGACATTCGACAAAACCGTAAACGAAAGTTTACGCAGTCCTGGGTATGACGATGAACTACATCCGGCAGCAAGACATCTGACGGGAGATTGGAGATTTTGAGGAAAATGAAACCACCTTATTATTAAATGGTGGTTTCAGACTATTGTTCCCAGGTCCACCTGGACCCGGGGTGATAGCACCTGTACGGGTCCCAAGTATAGAAAAATAGTTAACCCGCAAACTGGGGTCAGAACAAGGTGATAGTATAAAAATAGATTTTTATAATAAAAATACCAGCAATACATTTTTGGAAAAAAAGATATTATTAGTAATACATTTGACTCTCGACAAAATCCCTGTTTACAAAAATACGTCAATGTAACCTAATCTGCAAACTGATTTCTTACAATCAATACATATTCTATTTATACGAACCTATCCTATAAAAACCTTGTCGGCATTAAATAACCTGTTGAGGTGTTGATATGCCGAAAAACAAAATAAACCAAACCAAAAGATGAAAGAAAGGAAACTCTCGTCAATAGTAAAGAATAGACACAGCGCGATAACAGGGGAATTGAGAAACCTATTTGCCTGAAATTTCAGAGAAAGTTTTTATAAATTTCAAGAAGAGTAATGCTAAGTGTTCTGTCATTGAACGCTGAATGTTACCTTATATAGGAAAGATTAATCTTACGAATGCTATTACCATTCTGAATCTCTGCGTAGTGTAACTTGTTATTTTTTAAATTTTTTTAGACTTAGTTCAAGCTGGATTAGACACCGAACTCCGAAATTTCTTGCTACGTACAGCCTATCAACATCTTATTTCGGTTGGTGCATCCTCATTTGGTTAAGTATTTTTCTGCTCTTGGCGTTCAATCTATTAATATCATTCAACCTTCATTTCATAATGTTGAACCTGTATGATACTATGGGTATAGCGAAAATGTTGATAGCCATTATTTCATTAACCCCAATAGGTTCGCTTTCTAGTATCTAACGCAATCTCTTATAATATTTTTTCGGGCATTTTCTTTCTAATTGAATATTTTATTCCACCTCCTCCATTAATACCTAAATATTTGTATGTATCACGTTTGTCTACTTCCTTAATCTGTTGCTGATATCAAGTTTATTATTATTATTTCCTTTGAGTTCTGGCGTGTACACATTTCTTTCCGCCCAGAGACCTAAGGTTAGAAATGGCATCGACCCAGAGATAAAGCTCTCCGTTAAGGTTAGAAATGGCATCAATGACGCTTTCAAAAAGTAAAAAATATTTTTGTTGTTGTTGTCATAGATAAAGTCATCATCATCGTTAAGTTCTGCAGGACACACTACCTACCAAGTCTGGCAGGTCGTGGGTGTTGTTATGGCCACATTTCATGAGAACAATTTTTTTTTTTTTTTTTGCAGGCATAGGCTTCTTTTCTTTATGAATTCTTTCAATGTGTTGTTTTGTTCCATTTTTATAATTCCAAAGTTTACCACTGGTAATTCTTTTCCAACTATTTCATCCTTTGTATTTTGATAGTTTTCAAATCCAACCATTGGACAACCAGAGAAGTTTTTTCTTGTTTTTGATGTTGTTTTGTTGTCTGTGTGGATTATTATTATTATTATTATTATTATTTCATTATTTTGCTTATTAAGTTTTGCATTATTATTATTCCTTCCGTGACGATTTTTAATTTTGGGGCATTTCATTAGATGCCTATTTATATTTGTCAATTTTGGATATATTTGTGATATTTGCCTGAAAAATTCCTAGTGTCTGGTCTTGCGCTGCAAGTGCATTTATGTATGTATATAAAGAATAGTATTTGTATAATTGTTTCAAAATAATTTTTTTTCTTTTCATATCTTTTGGCATATGTTCTTGGCGAGAAAATCTACTAAATGTAAATGTTGTTTGTATTTACTATTTTATTATTGAATCCACTGTTTTCATGTTGTTTCAACATCCATTCAAATCATCTGACATAAGAAAAACCTCTTCCATTAATCAACAACATACATTATTATTAAAATTTGTATTAAAACAACTTTCAAAAAAGACTATAAATTTGATGGGATCCTGTGTGCATCAAAACCAAAAAATCATATGTATAAAAAAAATTTTTTATGTGGCATATGTTCCGAAAAACTTTAATAACCCATTCAAATCATCTGACAGAAAATCAACAACACCAAATATTAAAAGACATAAATTTAATAACCTCATCCTGCAATAAAAACATTGAACATATTTAATAACTAATCCTGCAATAAAAACATTGACCCTCTCCTTACCAATAATGAACTAACCCGATAATATCGTCTAATATTATCTATCAAACTAAAACAGCCAATAACATCTCCCCAAATAAAAACAAACGCTATGATGACGGTTGAGAACAAAAGAAAGCCCTCGGCAGAACACTATCGAGTGGGATCCTACTTTAACAAGCTGCCCCCACACACACACAGAACACAGACACACACGCAGGCACAGGCACAGACACACACACACACACATATATATATATATATATATATACTTTATATTCCGACTTATCTATTTAATCGTTATTAAAATGGATACTCCTACTTTATTTCAGATACTAGCATCAATTATATATATATATATATATATATATATAGATTTTTTGAATTGATTTAAACTAGTGCAAATAGTATTGAAATCATTTCCTTTTCCCCAAAGAATGGTGTTTGAGCCCTTAAGCTTTATCTACATTGGTCATAATTTTATTCAAAGCTTTATTCGCCGACGAAAAAAAGAAGGCTCCCTCTTCGTTTTATATATATATATATATATATATATATATATATATATATATATATATATATATATATATATATATATATATATTAGTCCATTTACACGAACCTTACATATTTAGTTACTAAATATTTTAGTGTTTACACAAAAGCCTGTTGCGGATGTTTTATACCTGTCAGTCAACCAAGATTATCGACTGAATATTTGAGTGACTGCTCCTGTTGAAGTGTTTTTTTCTAATTGGCGTAATAATTCGTCGCTGATTGATTCATTTTTCACTCGCAGAGCCGCGGGTTTCCTGACATTTTTATTTATGTACAGATTAAGTATCTGAAGGAAATAAAAACAGGCAGTAAATATTTATTTCTTAAATTATTTGTTTGCATTGATATTGACAGTCTTAGTTTATTACGACAGCAAGATTGTGATGCACCAGCTTTCACATTAGAGTAATCAACATTGCCTTGAAAATAAACATTGAAAATCTTCAAGTTTGCCGGATTTCAATATTCAGTGTGAAATACACATAATCTCAACCACGTGACAGATTTTATTTTAATATGATGATAATAGTAATACTAGGAACTTCTGAATAAGGAAAAATCTGGCTATTGCTGCTGTATGCCGCAATTTATGAAATGTTTCTCTAAAAACAATTTTTCAAGAAAATATGTTTCTCGTGCCAAGTTACCGTTATAGCTCTTTCCAGTATTAATCGGGGGTTTCCTTTATAATCTTTTGTTTGAAGCAGCTTGGAACGTCAACGTCTTGAACAAATCATTATTTCCTCTTCGCGTTACATGTGCTGTCCATTTTAGGTGTTACTGCTGTTGAACCTGAT